AGTGAAGTGGAATTGCAATTTTTTTTCTTGTTGGAAGAATTTTCGAGAGCGACTTTTAAGCCGTAAATAATCACAACGGCCTGTCATTTTCAAAATTATATGATGTGTATGTCGCGAGGACCTTGTGAGAACTCACGGTAAACAGAAGCAAACCATCTCGGAAGCGCGGGAAATGCGTGTGACTTAAACGCCATCGGCTGTAGTTTTGCGTCCAATTGATCAAGAGAGTGGGTCGAGGGTTGTTGACCAATCACAATGCAAGGTTAAGCAATTAAAGTGAAATCAAGGACGACTTTGGATACTCTGATGAAAATTTCTTTATCTCGTGATCAGGAGCCACATACATGTAATCTGAAAAAAAAACTGGAACTTTAAGAAGTACACGTATTCAGTTGTGACACTTGCGTCACTCAATGAAGTCTAACCGTAGATCAATGAATGGTAATGTCTGTAATTTTCCACAATCCGACAAAATAAATTGACTTTACATGAGTCTTCACATGAAGGTTACGGCTCATTTTGTAGGAGCCAATCCCCTTTCAATATTTTTGTTTTTTATGTAGAAGGATTGAGAAAAGATTAATTTTCGAACCACGGATTCATAAAAAATTAAACAAGTAATTACTTCGGCGACAAGATTGCAATTAAATCAATTTCGACTTAACTGGAAGCAAGGGGATTGGATTCTGTTACCACTGAGATACCGATGGATTTTTGGCTTACGTACGATTATCGTCAGCCTCCGAAGGATTTCGGTTCCTTTCGGTTATGTACTTTGCCTACGAGTGCGGTAATAAGAGCCTCTAAGGTTTTTGATTGAACACTTTTAAGTTTTCGCCAATTTGTGATCTAACGTTGATCTTCTTGGTCTGTTTTATAGGAAGCATGAGGAAGAAGAAGCTTGTCAAGAGAATTTTGTCCCCTATCTTCAAAGCCACTTCTCAAGAAGAAGAAACAAGTAACCAGGTCAACAGTCCAACAGGCGAGGTTCCTCAGAGCCCCGACTCAGTCGACAGTTCTGCCCCAGATCTCTCTCAGCGACTCGTTGATATAGACGCTTCGCTGTTTGCGCGGGAAATCACACTTATTGACAAAGAACTGTTTGTGAGAATTCCTTGGCCTGAGTTGGCCAACTGTGGCTGGATGACTAAAGATAAGGTAAAGAAATAGGTCTCGTCAGTGTTCAGTTTTTTTCAACGCGATATCCTGGCACGTGTTGAAATGTAAACTTAGAGTGGAGGTAGCCTTAGAATCGCGCACAGCTTGTTTTAAGCATGTGTGGTAGGCTGTTGCCTTTTGAAGGCACAGAATAAACGCTTATATCTAAAAGGAACACACAAAACAAAATTACTAGTTGTGAGCTTTTTTGCCGAAAAGTTTTTCAGCATCGTGTGACAACAACATATCTTTTTTCAATCTTTGAAGACGGAATCTCTATGAGTAAATCTAGTTTATTTCCACTCTTAAATTCTGTAGGGTGGGTTGGTGAACCAACGAACAAGCCAGCAAGTAAATGAGAGACAAGCTAAATAATGAACAATAACAGACAGCGAGTGTACGAACGAGTACGAGGCGAAAACTATCGATCGATTGACGATCGATCGATCGATTAACGATCGATTAGGCGGGCGAACGTTGGGACGAGCCAAATAAGTGGACTTATTTGTGTTATTCACTGTCAAGTTATTTCCTTGTTTATTACAGTATGTGACTTCCCCAAATGTGATGGCAATGGTGGAGTTTTTCAACCGCATCGCACTCTTAGCTGCGTCTGAAATTCTGTCTCAGGAAACAACTCTAGGACGGGCTAGAGCAATCTCCAAAGTCATCCAGGTATCTACCATTTCACAGTTAGTGTTAGTTCTCAGCCATTATCGTGTTTTCGTTTTTTATCTTTTTTTTCATGTTTTCTTTAATTCGTTTCTTTTCCCAGATCGCCGAAAAGTGCCATCTCTTGGGAAACTTTAATTCTCTCAAGGCTCTTTTGGCTGGTCTCCAGTCCACACCAGTCTATAGACTGAAAGAGACCTGGAAAGAGGTGCCTTCGAAGAGGAAGAAGTAAGACTCTTATCTATTGGAACAAATGATATGGGATGGGGAATAGATTTTGATAAAGGTTTTGTTTAGTGGAGCGGAGCAAGTCGTGGTTAGTTACGTCACAGAACCCATAATTTCTTTTCTTGTTTGTTTTTTCGGTTTGGTTACCAATTTCGTTAATTTTTGTATCTTCTTCCTCCTCCTCAGGAAGTTTCGAGACCTGTCTATCCTGATGGGAGAAAGTGAGAATTTCAGGCTGTATCGTGAAGAGCTCTCCGCCAGTTTGGAAAACGGCCCTTGTGTACCGTTCCTTGGGAACTTTTTGACCGAAATTGCCCAGACTCACACATACTTGGCTTACAAAAGAAAAAATGGTGTTAAAGGAAGTAAACAATCTTCGCTGTTGGCCCAAAACGGTAAATTTGATAGGGCAGATGGAGCCAATATCAACGGTGAAACTCCAAAATGCAATGGCATTACTAGTCTCAGTGTAAACAACGTGAACGTGACGTCTGATGGACAGAGTTCACCGCGTGACAAAGAAAGTGTCACGGTGGATTCTAGTGATAAGCGGACCGCTAAAGTGAAGCGGACGCCGTCACGCAGCAAGCTATGGCGGTTTCACAACCGACAGAGTATAAATGATAGTGGTGTCATGTTGAATCGTAGCCGGAACAACAGTGCCGAGGTTTTAGACATTCCCAATGGAGATATGCATAAAGTCATGACTTCGAGTTCAGATTCGGTGATCAACAGCTCGTGTTCGCTGAATGAAAGCCCTCGGAGCGCAAGGAACGGTAGCGCGCGCACGTCTAACAAACCATCTTTGTTGAGAAGACTGTCTGAAACTTCTTCGAATCATAATGGGGTGTCTTTTTCGAATAAGCCAAAGAGGCGTTTATCGGAAACCAAATCGAGTGAGAGTCGCCGCGCGTTTCTAAAGGGACTGGTTCGGAGAACGCCGAGCAGTCAGTCAGTGAAGGAAGGAAGGGTTTCACGTGGAACTTCTAATGAAAAACTCACCGTCAGTCTGAGCACATTGTCAGTCGCGGAGAACTCGAACAATCTAAGATTCAAAGAATTGGCTAAATCTCAAAGCAGTCCGTCGGTGGAGGAAGGTGGCAGGCTCTCACCGGAAGTCAAGCCGGACCCCCTCGACAGATCCCTTCAGATCTCCTCGAGTCACAACTCAGTAGTAAGTTATTCGCTGCCGACCAGCAGTCATGACATACATTCAGGTGAGTTGACAAAGTGTCTATGAACAAATGGTGTTTTTAATGAGAAGGAGCTCAGCTCCATTGTTGTACGTCCATCTAGTAGCTGTTGACCTATGAGCTGTAGCTTTGTGTGGTTCTATGACTTTTTATGTGGGGTAGCACGCAGCATTGTGCGCCCTGCGCGTACCCATCGGGCCTTTACGTTGTTGTGTTCTTGGGAAACACTCTTTTACTCCTCTCCTCCTGGGGAACAAAACTCTTAGGGAAACCTGATGACCTGCTGACCTGCCAAGGGAGGGGGGGAGTGGTGGAGGGGGAGGGAGGGCTCTTTGCGATGGACCTTACGAAGTTACGTAGGGAGATTTTTCATGATTAAGTACTGAGGTAACTGATATCTTTTTCTTATTCATTGTCGTTTTGTTGCCACTCAGGTACAGAGAAACAATTGTGGGCTTACCAGATCGCTTCGATTCAGTACGACTTCGTTAGCCGTCCGTTTGTTCGACACTTTCTCCTGAATGCTTCTTTTAACTCTGAGGAAGACAATTACAGGCTGTCACTTAAACGGGAAACCCCGGCCAAGAAAACTGGAAGCTGAATCATAGGGACTTCGGAAGGGCGCTTTCACGTGCGCTGCCACCGTGGAAACTGGGGCTTGTACTCGCCCCGTCTCATTTTCAAGTTCTTGACCTGTCGTTTCTACGCTCTCGTTCGTTTTGAATACCGAGTTGGATTGGGTACAACAACATAAGAACTACTCGTTTCCTTTCTCAACGAAGCGTTTTTCAAATTAACATTATTGACTGCTTCAAACAAGTATCACTTCTTTTTGACTATTTCAAAGTAGAATCATTCTCTCTCAAAATTTATACGCAGAAAATTTCTTTCACGCTTCTTCAAACCAAAAGATTTTAAGTATATTTTTATTGCAATTGGATGATAAATGATGTTATTTTTATCTATCTCAATTTACTCGATGGTTTTCAGTTAAATTTATCGAGACCACACCTTCGATTTTCTCGTAAACGTTTCAAATCTTCCTACATCACTTCGTTGTATGATTAGAAATTGTAAATATTTTAATGAAAAGATTATCAAGATTATCAAAGTATAGTTGAACAGACCAAGAAATAAAGACGAAATAAATAAATGAAAATGAGTTGAGTGTTTACAACGCCAATATTTGACGAGAATTATACAGCACGGTTCATCATGCCCACGGGGGGAAAAAAACTCACAAAGGAGTAATATCATGATATTCGCCTTTTTTTTCTGCGCAGAACAACTTGATCGCTAAACTTAAGGAAACTTCAGAAACTAGACACAGGTGGGTGGAGAAAAAATAGAGAGAAATGATTGCCTGTAGGAAGCCAAATTTTAGCGGTCGTCCACCGTTGGGTAAGACGGTTTAACCTTTTGACCCCTACACATATTAAGGTCATGAGAATAAAGGAAATGATCACCAACTAAAGAAGCTCTTGATCATTTAACAAATTCTCCTTATCAGTGACTTAGGAAATGTATAGATTGGCAAAGCCGCGGGAGAAGAGCTCGTCTGCTTATTTTCGCAGTATTGCCACTATTTTTATTCATCAGGATCGAGAGCTTTGAGTCGATTGAGTCAAAAATATTATTTGGTACCAATGCCTCTCTGCCTCAGAAGACCTCGGCATCATGTGACGCCCACCGCTTGATTAATAATTGCTTCGATTCTTCGATTATCACTTGGTCAGGAAGTTTTTCGTCATGGATGTTCAGCAGCTGTTTAAAAACCTAAAGAAGGAAGCGGAGTGTCCGCTATGTTCAGAAACTGTCAAAGAACCCAAAACACTTCCATGTTTGCATTCGTTCTGTTTAAACTGCCTCGACAAACATGCTGGACATGCCAGAAGACGGCGAAAAGAGAAACTAAAATGTCCGGTTTGCCCGACTGAATTCAACGTTCCAAAAGGTGATACCTTTTCAGATTTTCCCACATCCTTTCATCTCAATCGATTGGTGGATGTCCTTGCTATTAATGATAGCGATGCAGACATGCAGACATGCAATAGCTGCGACGATAGCAGCGCTGTTACTTCGTATTGTTTTGTTTGTCAAAGCTTTTTATGTGCAGCTTGTTTTGACGCACATCAACGCCTGAGGGCTACGAGAGGTCACCGAAGTATATTGTTCGAGAAATTGCAGGCACAAGATGTCGAAGAATTGATGCATCGACCTGCGATGTGTACCCAGAAATATCACCAAAACGAAGCGCTCGAGTATTACTGTCAAGATTGTAAGGTCTGTGTCTGTGTGAAGTGTGGATTGGTAAATCACAACGGCCATGCTTTGGTGGATATCGAAGGAGCCGCGGGTGAATGTAGGAACCAAATTACCGAGGTCGTGGGGAAAGCAAAGGCACAAGTCTCCGTCCTCGAAAGGCGAGTGAGTAGACAAACTGAATTTATGAATAAGAGCATAGCTCAAATGTACGACGCTCAAGCCAAAGTGACAGAAGTCGTTGATGAACTTGTGAGAATTTTGAGGGAACATGAAGAGGCCATGAAGGCAAAGTTGAGACAACTTGTTGAGACACAACAAAGGAACCATAAGGGACAACTAGAAGTCTTCCAGTCAGCCATTTCCCAACTGAAAAACTGTATTGAACAAGGAGAGGGCATCGTACAGAGAAACTTTCCTGTTGAAATTTTGCAAACGGAGCGGTCAATCATCGGTCGCGCTAAAGAACTTTTGAATGTATCAGAAATAAAGATTTACCAACCCAGTGTTGTTAAATTTGTTCCAAATACAGAAACTTTAAATACCATTAAGTTAAATGGCTCCGGTCAAATTTATGCAAGTCGTACTGACGCCTCCCTATCGACGGTAAACTATGGTAACGACTCAAGGTTAATTTTCAAAACAGGCAGCGAAATCTGCTTTCAAATAACTACAAGAGATTTACTTGGAGATCAGACTTACAACAAAGATGACCGAGTGATCGCAGAAATCGTCAAATCATCAGGATGCCGCGAAAAGGCGATAATTAAAGATCTTGGAAACGGAAACTATGAAGTTTGTTGCACACTGAAACAACTTGGGCATAATAAGGTTGCGATCTACATTAATGAAATGCTAGTGGCTGATAGCCCCTGGGAAGTGGCCCCATGGCATGTTGCCTATAGCATCGCCCAGTGTAGAAAAACTGGGAACATAGCAGTGGCTGACTATGACAATAAGAAAGTGCTTCTGTATGATTCGATGTTAAATTACCTAAGAACTATAGTGGATTTTGGACCAGACCGAAGACCAAGATGTCTGGCATTCACAAACTTCTTTCTTGCTTCCAATGTTATTGTCATACATGAGGATACCTCGCTGCAAAGTAAAATTTCAGTTTTTACCCCACGTGGCTACTTCTTCATGGGCATTGGTGCGGAATTTTTGACTAATCCTTGCAGTGTCTCCGTCAAGAATGATGGTCAAATAATAGTGTGTGACTCGGGTGACAGATCAGTCAAGCTCCTCTCTCCTGACGGGACAAAATTGTTGAAATCCTTCAAAGCAAAGGACGGTGATGCATCTCCGTGGTTTGCTGTTCACGATCAGAAAAGATATTTTGTGTCGTACCGCATTGGTCAAAGTGTGAAGGTTTTCAACGAAGATGGAGTTTATTTACACGATATCGGTAAATTCGATGCTCCAGCCGGCCTAGCTATCGACAAATTTAGTAACCTAATTGCGTGTGATTCCGATGCCAAATCTGTTAAAGTCTTTACCTTCAATGGAGAGTTTGTTACCTCGCTTCCAGCTGGGAAATACCTAGAATGCCCCTGCTCTGTTGTTGTTTCCAACAACGGCGACGTCCTACTTACGGATTTGACAACTGGCCTAATTTTCACATTTCATCGCGAGTCTAAATACCAACTCCACGAGAAAAAGTACTTGATTTCGTGAGAAAGAGACAATTGAGGACCGATGTAGAAAATCTCTTTCGTTTTTTAATTCCAAGTACCAATTTTTCTCTTCCTCTTCCCGCTTCGTATTCTTTTTGTATTCACGCGCGGCGCGCGTGATTCCACAAATTAGTCTATCACGTCAAAGAACTCTAACCTTGACTTTGGAGAACTGACGTGGACACTTTTCGCGTACTTTCAGTTTTGTTTTCGTGGAGTATTAATTTTGTTGTTTTTGAGCTTTCGTTCGCGTAAATTTGTTACTCCTTTGTTAGAATTTTTATGAAGTTTCGGAGTTTTTATTTTAGCCAAATGTTGTGGTTCATTTAACAAGTTTAATACATATTTTCTTCGGAGTTTGGACTGTAGCCTCTTTTTTTCGTGTTGCGTGATTTTTAAGGTTTATATGTAATAAATTCTTTTGAATTCATTCAGTGCCACCGATGCTTGGCCATTGCTTCGATTGCCCTCATTAATTTGGTTTTTTTTTAAGCTTTGCCAGAACAGCAAGATATGTAGACACATTGTCTAGAATATGTAAATTTTTTCTTTGGCACCTTTTGACTTAAGATGCTTGTTCAATTTTACGATAGTTGTATTTAGTTGTTTATAATTTATTTTCTCTCCTGCTGTTCATGTTTTGTTTTTAAAACCATTCTGCTCAAATACAGAAACATTGTCGAGGAGTGTCTTAATATTGCCCTCAAATTTTTGTCTTTTACGCCTCCTAACCTGGAGAGAGCCCTGGAAACGGCAGGAGAAAAGAAAAGGTAGATCAACCTCTTTCCGAAAGGTTGTTGGTGTCGATTTTAAAGTGAACAGTTGTCTTTATGCTGTCACCAAAAGGAAAAAAAAGCTCTGCCTTTGTTCTTGATGAGTTAGGTCCCAGGCGAGTGCGAATCGAAGTACAGTAGAACCCCGTTGATGCGAAATGCTAAAGGAAACCAAATCAGATCGGGATGAGCTTCAAATTCGTGTAAGTGCAAGTAATTTTTTTACGCAAATAAAATTATAGTTACTCCTCTCCGCTAATCTCGACCAAGTGTAAAATAAGCCAGAGCTATTCATCTTATTTCGTTTAACAAATGAACGATTATTTTGATGATTTTCGGTCGGACTTTGATAGTCGGAAAACTCATTTGAATTACAAAGAACTCCTAAAATTAGTATTCATGTTTGCAAGTCAGCCTTGCACGTGGAAAGAGCTCGCAAACTTCAAGAGATTTCAGCATCTTTTACGGCTATTCTGGAGGCAGGAAATACGCCTCAACCTCATAACCTCAGGAGGACATCGTCCGTTTTGACTTTGCCGGCGTGTGTATCTTCAAGATTGATGAAACGAGTGATTGACGTTTGACGACGAGAACTGATGGATGCCATTTCGTCTCGAGCTTTCACAAGGTAAATAATTCTTAAAGCAGAGCATTTTTGATAGAATTGAAGTGTCGATGGTTACTTTCGTTCATCGTGTAAATCTCATTGTAGAGTTAAGTGACCAAAAAAATAAGGAATAACATGTTACACTTTTTTCAGTTGAAGACAAATACTGTCTAGCATCCGCCATGATAGTTCATGTACAACCACGTGATTTTCTGTGATAGAATCTGTAAGAATTCTTCGCAATAGCGACAAATTTTTATTTATATAATTGTTCTTGCCTTGATTGCCTATTTACTCCTTCGTTTTTTTTCATTTCTGAACTTTTTTGATACTATATAAAGCTAAATGTGCCTGCAGTTTTTCAGCTCTAAGTATGTTTTAATCCTTTCACCTTTAAGAGTGTCTGGCTTCAAGTTTCCCCTTACAGTATCACCCTTGTATCAAATGTAAAGTTCATGGGATTCAGCAAATGATCACCAATTTAACAAGCTCCTGATTGTCCAATAAAAAGTCCTTGTCAGTATAATGGAAAATGTACAGGGTACAGTGTGGAGAATATGTAAAAATGCTAATATGAACGTGCACTTTTAGGATTCTTTTTCATTTGATTATTACGTTTGAATCCCGTGCACGTTTAGGATTCTCTGTCATTTGATTATAACGTTAGTATCTTGCGCCCTTTTAGGATTCTCTTTCAGTTGAGTATTACGTTTGTATCTCGTGCACTTTTAGGATTCTCTTTCATTTGATTATTACGTTTGTATCTCGTGCACTTTTAGGATTATTTTTCAGTTGATTATTACGTTTGTATCTCGTGCACTTTTAGGATTGTCTTTCATTTGATTATTACGTTTTTTATCTCGCGCACTTTTAGGATTCTCTGTTAACTGATTATTACGTTTGTATCTCGCGCACTTTTAGGATTCTGTCATTTGATTATTACGTCTGTATCTTGTGCACTTTTAGGATTGTCTTTCATTTGATTATTACGTTTTTTATCCCGCGCATTTTTAGGATTCTCTGTTAATTGATTATTATGTTTGTATCTCGCGCACTTTTAGGATTCTGTCATTTGATCATTACGTCTGTATCTCATGCACTTTTAGGATTCACTTTCAGCTGATTATTACGTTAGTATCTCACGCACTTTTAGGATTGTCTGTCATTTGATTATTACGTTTGTATCTCGTGCACTTTTAGGATTATTTTTCAGTTGATTATTACGTTTGTATCTCGTGCACTTTTAGGATTGTCTTTCATTTGATTATTACGTTTTTTATCTCGCGCACTTTTAGGATTCTCTGTTAACTGATTATTACGTTTGTATCTCGCGCACTTTTAGGATTATTTTTCAGTTGATTATTACGTTTGTATCTCGCGCACTTTTAGGATTCTGTCATTTGATTATTACGTCTGTATCTCGTGCAGTTTTAGGATTGTCTTTCATTTGATTATTACGTTTTTTATCTCGCGCACTTTTAGGATTCTCTGTTAACTGATTATTACGTTTGTATCTCGCGCACTTTAAGGATTATTTTTCAGTTGATTATTACGTTTGTATCTCGCGCACTTTTAGGATTCTGTCATTTGATTATTACGTCTGTATCTCGTGCAGTTTTAGGATTGTCTTTCATTTGATTATTACGTTTTTTATCTCGCGCATTTTTAGGATTCTCTGTTAATTGATTATTATGTTTGTATCTCGCGCACTTTTAGGATTCTGTCATTTGATTATTACGTCTGTATCTCGTGCACTTTTAGGATTCTCTTTCAGCTGATTATTACGTTAGTATCTCACGCACTTTTAGGATTGTCTGTCATTTGATTATTACGTTTGTATCTCGTGCACTTTTAGGATTATTTTTCAGTTGATTATTACGTTTGTATCTCGTGCACTTTTAGGATTGTCTTTCATTTGATTATTACGTTTTTTATCTCGCGCACTTTTAGGATTCTCTGTTAACTGATTATTACGTTTGTATCGCGCGCACTTTTAGGATTATTTTTATTTATTATTACGTTTGTATCTCGTACACTTTTAGGATCCTCTTTCATTTGATTATTACGTTTGTATCTCGCGCACTTTTAGGATTCTCTGTCATGTGATTATTTTGTTTGTATCTCGCGCACTTTTAGGATTCTCTGTCATTTGATTATTACGTTTGTATCTCGCATCTTTAGGATTATTTTTTATTTATTATAACGTTTGTATCTCGCGCACTTTTAGGATTCTCTTTCATTTGATTATTACGTTTGTATCTCGCGCACTTTTAAGATTCTCTGTCATTTGATTGTTACGTTTGTATCTTGCACACTTTTAGGATTCTCTGTCAATTGATTACTATGTTTGTATCTCGCGCACTTTTAGGTTTCTCTGTCATGTGATTATTATGTTTGTATCTCGCGCACTTTTAGGATTCTCTTTCAGTTGAGTATTACGTTAGTATCTTGCACACTTTTAGGATTCTCTTTCAGTTGAGTATTACGTTAGTATCTCGCGCACTTTTAGGATTCTCTTTCAGTTGAGTATTACGTTAGTATCTCGCGCACTTTTAGAATTCTCTTTCATTTGATTATAACGTTTGTATCTCGTGCACTTTTAGGATTCTTTTTCAGTTGATTATTACGTTTGTATCTCGTGCACTTTTAGGATTGTCTTTCATTTGATTATTACGTTTTTTATCTCGCGCACTTTTAGGATTCTCTGTTAACTGATTATTACGTTTGTATCTGGTGCACTTTTAGGATTATTTTTCAGTTGATTATTACGTTTGTATCTCGTGCACTTTTAGGATTGTCTTTCATTTGATTATTACGTTTTTTATCTCGCGCACTTTTAGGATTCTCTGTTAACTGATTATTACGTTTGTATCTCGCGCACTTTTAGTATTATTTTTATTTATTATTACGTTTGTATCTCGTACACTTTTAGGATCCTCTTTCATTTGATTATTACTTTTGTATCTCGCGCACTTTTAGGATTCTCTGTCATGTGATTATTTTGTTTGTATCTCGCGCACTTTTAGGATTCTCTGTCATTTGATTATTACGTTTGTATCTCGCATCTTTAGGATTATTTTTTATTTATTATAACGTTTGTATCTCGAGCACTTTTAGGATTCTCTTTCATTTGATTATTACGTTTGTATCTCGCGCACTTTTAAGATTCTCTGTCATTTGATTGTTACGTTTGTATCTTGCACACTTTTAGGATTCTCTGTCAATTGATTACTATGTTTGTATCTCGCGCACTTTTAGGTTTCTCTGTCATGTGATTATTATGTTTGTATCTCGCGCACTTTTAGGATTCTCTTTCAGTTGAGTATTACGTTAGTATCTTGCACACTTTTAGGATTCTCTTTCAGTTGAGTTTTACGTTAGTATCTCGCGCACTTTTAGGATTTTCTTTCAGTTGAGTATTACGTTAGTATCTCGCGCACTTTTAGGATTCTCTTTCATTTGATTATTACGTTTGTATCTCGTGCACTTTTAGGATTCTTTTTCAGTTGATTATTACGTTTGTATCTCGTGCTCTTTTAGGATTGTCTTTCATTTGATTATTACGTTTTTTATCTCGCGCACTTTTAGGATTCTCTGTTAATTGATTATTATGTTTGTATCTCG